CATTGATGAACCTGGGAAACGGCTGGTAGAAGATACTATGAGCCAGGTATCTGCTGAGCCTATTCAGAAATCCTTTCTCTTGGCAAAATCAGTGACTAATGACTATCTTGCCACTCTGGGTATGTTGCCTATTACTATTAGGCTAGGTGAGGAAGTGTTTTCACATGATGTTCAGGTGGTTCGGAATGTTACACAGCCAGTTATCCTTTGGGTGGGATTTTCTTACCAAATATCATGCTGCAATTGACCTCACAGAGAATCATTTAAAATTGTGGAACTTGACTGTTCCTCTCCTGCATTCGCAAGAAATAGTCCTTCTTAGGAGTAGTGCTGTGACTTTAGGGCCCATTCTGGTCCCTGCCAAGTCACAAATTAACATTTTGAAAAAACTTCAGTCCAACATTGGCGGAAAAAAGTTCACATGCAATTATGTTGGACTCTTAGACCCTGAAATTCAGTCGGTACCTGGTCTTTTTGTGGAACCTCTGTAAAAGCAGGTGTGACTTGTGTTCGAGCCATGAATCTGACAAATGAGGATTGCCATATTCCCTGTGGCACAAGGCTAGGTGAGTTTCATTCCTTAGTCACTCAACCAGGTGAAGAGTACACAATTACAATGCTGGAACCCACAGTAGCTCAGATACAGACTCATATGGCACTTTTCCACTGCGTGGTACGACTCGGCTCGGCACGGCTCAGTACGGCATGGTTCGGCTCGGCACGGTTTGCGTTTCCACTGCAGTTCAGTACCGCTTTAGAGTGGGCGGGATTATTCACATGTCGTTATAGTTGCACCGCCTCTACTGCCGCGACTCCTAAAAAAAACTTTTTAATTCCACGTCGCCCTATCAAGCTCTCGCTGGATCCGCTCCTCTGCTTTCAACGAGAGGATCGTCTGTTCTTCCACAACAGACAACCAAAAAAAGGTGCGCTCGTTCAAAACAGTTGCGTTCAATCCTTTGCTGGCTGTGCTGATTTAAATCTAGCGGTTCTTTTGTGTTTGTGTCACAAGTTCAGTGACGCAGGTAGTGACGATTCTCTCCGGCCAATCCGTGATCAGCAGAGTTTACACGTCACGTTTTGGTAACGGTACGGTTCACTTGGAACCCCAACTGAGGTGGTACTAAAAAAAGTACCAGGTACCAGGTACTGTACCCAGTGGAAAACCCCCCAAAAGTGAACCGTACCGTGCCATACCATGCAGTGGAAAAGCGCCAACATTGAACCCTGTCCAAAACCTAAAGTAGACCTCAGTTAGTCTGCGCTGGACAGAGAAGAACAGAGTCAGCTAGAGACTCTGATTTCCAAGTACTCAGATGATTTTAGTGCAGATGATTATGACTATGGTTGTACTGATTTGGTCAAGCATACCATCCGTACTTTGGATGCACAGCCCATTAGGCAGAGTGCAGATGATTATGACTATGGTCGTACCGATTTGGTCAAGCATACCATCCGTACTTGGGATGCACAGCCCATTAAGCAGAGGGCTTATAGAACATCACCACACATTCGAGCTGAGATAGACAGGAAAGTTCAGCAGCTCCTTTCCCATGATGTAATTGAGGAAAATTGTAGTCCTTGAGCTTTACCATTCTGTACAGGGAAGGTAAGCAGCATAGTAATGCTGATTCTTTGTCGCGGCGTCCTAGCTCACCTGTAACTGAAAAAAAAAGCAGTGCAGTATGTAATTTACAGCAATACCACAGCTGAAAAAGTCTGCTTTTCTTCTGAAGTGCCACTGGTTTGTAAAGTTCTTCCTGACATGAGTCTGACAGTTGAATTTGGCTGAATTACAAGCTCAGCAAAAGGCTGACTTTTGTCTTAGTACTGTCATGGACTGGAAAGAGAATGGCAATCAAAGACCCCCGTTAGGCAGACTGAAACATTCCCCTGCCACACTGAGGAAACTCTGGTATGAATTCCCTAAATTACCAGTCCAAGAGGGTATATTAGCCCATAGCCCACCTGGTTGCCAAGTAGTCTTGCCTGAGGTACTCATTCTAACAGCTAAGTGTTTTCATGGGGAGGAGTTTAGTGGTCATTTGAGTGCCAAGCATACTTTATTGAGAGCCAAGAAAATATGCTATTGGCCTTACATGTCCCGCGATATCCAGAAATTATGTGCTGAATGTGTATCCTGTCAGTCCTGTGCTTCTACCACTCCTCATGAAAGGGCCCCGTTACAGTCAATTTATGCAGAAAGACCATTCCAAAGAATTGCCGCTGACATCAGTGATCTACCTATTACTTCACTTGGGAATAGGTATGTTTTAGTTGTGATTAATTATTTTACCCGTTTTGTCAGTTTGTACCCTCTGAAAGATCAGCGTGCAACAACTGTAGCACAGTGCATTTTTGAGGATTACATTAAGCAGCACAGGTTCCCTGAGATAATTCATACGGACCAAGGTAGACCGTTTGAGCCAGATTTGATTAAACATCTGTGCAGTCAACTGGACATTGAGAAAACCTGTACCTCTCCCTACCTGCCAATATCGTTCTGAACTGTAGTCCTTCTGTCTCTTCCTGTACGCCAGGCACCCCTGCAGACTATGCTTGTGATGTGACCACACGTTTGTCGTGTGCTTTCAAAGATGCTGCTGTGCAGTTCACTGCAGCTAAACTTAATCAGAAATGGCAGTATGACAAAAAGACATATTTCCACCCACATAAGCCAGGTGACTTTGTATTTTTGGATGACCCAGCTCAAAAGCAGAATAAACTGGCTCCTAAATGGAAAGGGCCATACAAACTTTTGAGGAGAATGGACAAAGATGACAGCCCTGGTGTAACTTTTGAGATTACAGATCCAAGAAATCCACAGTCAAGAAGGTGGGTGGTTCATCACAATCGCCTAAAACCTTACAAGGATCTTTCGATGGATTTGCCTGGCAGTTCCCCTCCGGGCTCTGAGCCTCCTGTGGTTAGTAGTGCTGAGGCCCCTTCTTCAGTTCCCCTCACTGCGTTGTCAGGTGCTTTACCCTTTCGACCTTCTACACCACCGTATGTGCCTAACCAAACTAAGGGTGTGTTCACACTTGTAGTTTGGTTCGTTTGATTCATTTGGTCCGGACCAAAAATGAAAAACAGCTTGAATGACGTATATATTGTGACGGAACTTACCGAACACCCCAAACAAAAGGTGTGTTAGACAATGTGGGTGTATGATATCAAAGCATCCATTAACCGATCGGTCTGCTCAGAGCCGCTTTAAGTCGAACACTGCTAATGCCGTCTGCTGGACTAAGCGCGCTCATTCTTGTGTGTACATATAATTTTATTTTCACCACCTGCAAACTCACAAGGAGATCATAAAAGGTACTTTACCTCATCGTTGCTCCACGTTTGCCCTCTGCTCATTTTGTTTTGGTTACACCGTGTTGTCAAATCATGTTGCATAGCGTCGCATCTTGTCATTACTTCCTGTTTTTGGTTCATTTAGAAGTATTTGGTCTGTGTTACGTTCATATTTCATTCGAACCGCACCAGAGTTCGTTTGGAAGCGGACCGAGACCCATCTTTTTAGCGGTCTTGGTCCGCTTGTTTGGTGTGCACCTGGGTTCGGATGGCAGCGTTCACACTTACTCAAACGAACTGCACTAACAGAGCAATCGCACCAGAGTTCATTTTAATTGAACCAAACATGACAAGTGTGAACACACCCTAAAAAACAGACTACTACTAATGCAAGGGCTGACTGTTCAAATCCAACTGCTTTGTTGTCTGAACCTAACATTGTGCCACATTTCAGTGGTCCCCCCTGGGCCCTAAAAGGTCCCGGACAGGGCTATATTGCCTTCAGCGAATGCACCTCAACTGAACCGTAGTGGCCGCATGGTTAAAAAAACCCCTGAAAAGTTTAAAGATTTTGTTTGTTGATGAGTTATGTACATATTGGTTGTCTGTGCATGGTGCTTTTACTGTACAGTATAATGCACATGAGTTTTCAAACAGTGTTGTGTTATAGGAGTCTGATTCAGTGCAGAGGATCCATTGGTGAGAAAGTAATGTAATGCTACATTTCTTCAAATCTCTTCGGATGAAAAAACAAACTCTATCTACATCTTGAATGGCCTGAAGGTGAGTAAATTTTCAACAAATGATCTTTTTTTGAGTGAACTATTCCTTTCATTGCATGCTGAAGCTTTATTTTTAAGACCAGTTTAGTTGAATTATTGACTTTATTCTTTATTCTTGACTCCTGCAACACATCATCAGGCTGGTGATATCATTCTGAAGGTAAAACTGATAAATATGTTTGTCTTTATTGATGAACCTATAATTATTTTTATGTTAAGGTAGATAACCTAGAAATAGCTAATATTACAATTCTAAACCGCAATTTTCAATCTGGTTTCCGACCGCATCACAGCACAGAGACGAATATAAACCTAACAGACCACTCAGATCATTAGGATCGAGTCAGTTAGAAATACCAAGGGTTCACACAAAACAAGGGGAGTCTGCTTTTAGTTATTATGCCGCCCGCAGTTGGAATCAACTTCCAGAAGAAATGAGATGTGCTAAAACATTAGTCACATTTAAATGCAGACTCAAAACTCATCTGTTTAGCTGTGCATTTACTGAATGAGCACTGTGCAATGTCCGAACTGATTGCACTATATTTCATGTATAATCATTTTCTATTCTTAACTTTTTAAATTCATTTTAAACCTCTTAAATCAATTTTTTTTATCATTTTCAAAGTTTTTAAATTCCTTGTTTTATTGTTGTGATTTTTTTCTTTTCTTTTACGTAAAGCACTTTGAATTACCATTGTGTATGAAATGTGCTATATAAATAAACTTGCTTTGCCTTGCCTATACTATCTAGACTAAATAAATGTAAAACAATTTAATAGATTGTTTTAAATGCTACAAGTGAATTTAGGTTTGTAACATTATAGTGTGCAGTGTGAAAATTAGATATTAATTTTAAGATAATTTAACAGTGTTATTAAATTAGCAGTGTTATCCACCAATAACCCATAAGTTTACCTGTCCTGTGAAGCCCACACCTTCTGCTGACTGAAGGAAGTTTTTGTAAACTTGATTGGCCTGAGCAATGACCGCTGCTACAGCATTCTGGTAATGAGGGGCAGCGATGGCCAGAATGGGAAGGGAAGCCAGTGGCAAGTGATCCACACTGCTGGACACGCAGGTTTCATCATAGCTGTATGGATTCAAACTACAAGAAGACAAAATTAGATAATCCACAGAATGATGTTTGAATAGCTAACCTCCAAGTCCTCATACAGTAAAGTTTTTTTTTTGCTTTAAACAAACATGTTTAAATCCAAACACCTATATATATATATATATATATATATACATACACACATATACATACACATACACATATATCATAAACATACCAATACATATAAAGGTACATATACATCCAAACCCCTTATACATACACATTGTACATGTCCACTCCAACTGTGTACAGTATACTCACAAATTCTTGAAGGCATATATATTTACAACCCACATATGTCTTTATTAAGATACTTGACAGTGAAATAATTTAACTAATTAAAACATAGAATATACGAATACAAGAATTTACTAGTGACTATTACACCTCTTATCTCTCAGGATACTGCTTGTTCCCTTAACATTAACGTAAGCAGGAACTAAGCAAAGGTGGCAATACAGTAACCTAATTGTCGGATATCTTATAGCTCTTTGTTGAAAAATTAACAAGCAATATATATAATTATAAAATTATTTAAAACACTCAGAGTGCACCCCTAATCTTGACCCCTATGCCAATAAGAAGTTATAAATCAAAATTGTTAATTAAGGATTTTGAGTTCCATATTCTTGAAAATATTGTTTATATCTGATATCTTATATTTCAGCTCTTCTAGGGGTAACACATAACTTAGGTCTCTTAGCCAAACTTCGAATACAAGCAAGGATTCAGACTTCCATTTCTGTAAAACTGCCTTTTTTGCTAAGATCATGCATAAAGAAACAGTTTGTGACACATATTTACTTCCTATATCTCAGGTGGCAAATCGATTTTATATGCTTCTGAAATAAATCTGAATATACTTTGCCAGAATAGTCTAATTTTATGAGATGTCCAAAATAAATGAGACAACGTGCCTTCTGAGATTTTACATTTGTTACATATTGAGGATACATTTGGGAAAATCTAATGTAGTTTGGTCTTCGAATAATGAAGTCTGTAAATTACTTTGAATTGAATCACACTATGCCTTGCGTTAATAGAGCATTCATGAATTTCATTAAGACAGTCTTCCCATGACTCGCTAGACAATTCTATACCAAGTTCCTTTTCCCATTCTTGCCTAATATGATCAGTGTTTACATTCACCTTATCCAGTAGTAAAGCATAAAAGAAAGAAACAGTACCTCGTTCTATTGGACTGAGATTACATATAATTTCAAGAGTTTGATGTATAGCCATGTTTTCAAAACCAGTGAAATGTTTCCTAGTAAAATCTCTAATTTGTAAATACCGGAAAAAATCTGTAGATAAAAGATCATATTTCAATTTAAGTTGATTAAATGAGCAAAATGTATTATCAATATATAGATCTCTTATGGAAATTAAACCCTTTTGCTTCCATTGGGAGAAAACCTTGTCTTGTAACCACGGGTAAAGGCGAGGTTTTTACAAATTGGGCTGTCCAAATATATATGTGGAAGATCCAAAAATGATTTAATCTGTTTCCAAAACTTTAGAGAGTTATTTATTACCATATTTTCATTATAAAAACTTGACTCATTTTTTATTGGACTATTCAACAAAGCCTCTAAAGATGTTGTCCTACAAGAAGTTCTTTCTAACCAAACCCATTCTGGTATCTCCACTTTATTTTCTGGAGTTTGTCTCCACCAAGAAAGGAATTGTAAATTAGCGGCCCAGTGGTAACATCTGAAGGAAGGAAGACTGAATCCTCCTCCTGCTTTGGGCTTACATAGATGTTTTTTTAGATATTCTGACAGCTTCATAATTCCATATAAAATAAATAATTATACACTTGAATTTTGTAAATAGTTTCACCGGTATCAGAACTGGAATGGAACAAAATAAAAAAAAAAATCGAGGAAGCATTACCATTTTGATTGCATTGATCTTTCCTGCCATAGACATAGGTAAAGTCCTCCAAAATGTTATATTATCTTTTAGCTGATTCACTTTCACATGCCAGTTCACCTTTAGAAGTGCATCTGCCTTTCTTGTGATTATGATTCCTAAATGTTTAAATGAATTATGAGCAATTTTAAATGGTATACAATTTTTTAAAAATTGTCAATATCCTCAGTTAGGGGCATTAACTCACTTTTATCCCAATATATTGTAAAACCTGACAGTTTATTAAATGATGCTAAAAGCTTCAAAAGAGGTGGAATAGACAATTCTGGCTTTGCTATATATAATAGTACATCATCTGCATATAAAGATATATATTGGGGTCTATCATTAATTAAAATAGGGGCAATTTCAACATTCTGCCTGACACTATATGCCAAGGGTTCCATCGCTAGTGCAAATAGGGGGAGAGAGGACAGCCTTGGCGTGTTCCTCTGTATAGTGGGAATGAGGCTGAAAATGTAAAGTTTGTAAGGACCGAAGCTTTTGAATTAGCATACAAAATATTAACCCACTGAATTAATTTGTCCCCAAATCCAAATCTTTTTAGAGTTGCGAACATATAAGGCCATTCAATTTGATCGAATGCACGTTCTGCATCTAAGGAAATCAAACAAGCTTTTATTGTATGTTTTGTATATATTATATTATAAAGACGTCTCAAGTTTGATTGTTTGTGCCGATTTGGCATAAATCCTGTCTGATCTTGATGTATGATTGAACATATATACTGTTGCATCTTTTAGCTAATACCTTGCTAATGATTTTTTCCTCTATTGGAATAAGAGAGACAGGATGTCACATTCCAACTCAGAAGCCTTACTGTGCCTTTTCTGTGTGTTTGATCTATTCTAAATATTTATATAAAAGTAGTTATTTTTTCTGATATCCAATGCAAGTTTAATTTTTACCAGGCCTTTCGACCGAACCATAACTATACCCCCTTCCCAAGAACAAATCAGAACAAGAGTATACAAACAAAAAAACCTTATTCCCCCCCACCCTTTCCCATCAGTCAAATGACTTAGCTCCACGTTACTGCCGGATCACTCACCACCGATGCAAAGTAATGTTCCATGTCCCCCGAAAAAAAAAGAAAGAAACAAATTAATAAAATCTTCCTCCGTTAAGATAGAATAAACATGAATAACCTGTTTTATGAACCTCCTAATTGTCCATAATGTTCACTATTATTTCAATAAAAAAGTTTTGACAAAGTCTTATTTAGTTCAATCTGAACTGTTCCTTCCATTTAGTCCACAGCCAATTGTCCACGACTCGTGACAAGTAGATTCCAGCCTCCTCTGGTGTGTCAAATGATTAGTCTCACCTTCTTTTTCGGTCACGATGAGTGTAGATGGGAATTGAAACCCAAGATTTTTGAATTTTTTCTTTATTTCGGCAAATCGGGACCTCTGCTTCAACACATCCGAGGTCAAATCTGGTAAAATGTGCACCCTTTTCCCTTTGTATTCTAGAGATTTCTCTCTGGCCAGCTTCATGATTAACTATTTCGTTTGGTAATGATGTACCCTGATGACAAACGCTCTTGGAAGATCATCTCTCGGTCTTCGCTGAGCCCTGTGCGCATGATCAATCTGGATAGGTTTGATGAAGTTTTTGGAACCCAGCAGTTTTGGAAGTAATTCCACTATAAACTCGTAGGTCTGCTGTTTTCTTCCTTCTCTGCAACTCCCATCAGCCGAATTTTGTTGTGCCTGGAACAGGACTCGAGGTCTTTACATTTATCTCTGAGTCTCTTACACTCATCCAGTAGTTCTGCACACTGTTTTCTATGCACGTCAGATGGGTTTCTCGGTTCATAGTAGCCTCTTCGATCGTCGTGACTTTTTCTGCCATGGATGTCAGCGTTGATCGTAGCTCAGTCAGTGTATGTGTGAACGTGTCGAATTTTTGGCTAAATGAAGCATTAAGGGCTGTTATGGTGTCATGATGTCTTGAGTGATAGGAGAAGTTGTGCTAAGAGAAGTTGCGCTAGCGTTAGCGCCGGTTGGCCTCGGCTCCCCCGTAGCATTCCTCGAGGCCTTGCCCTGATCGTCGGCCTCTTCATGTAGTTTATCGTCTTTTTTCAAATGTTTTGGCATTGTTGTGGTTTTATTAACTACTTGACTTACTTCTGAACAACTTTAATGGTTAAATGTTAAATTTCAGATTCATTCATTATGAAATTATTTGGAGTATTAGCGGAGCTTAGACGAAAGCGGCTTTCTCCATGCGAACCGGAACCCCCTCCTACAGTAAAGTTTAAAGTTCTAATTTTCTGTATTGTGTCACTAGAATGTCCCCTAGCACCCTTTTTCATTTTTTTTTGTCTTATCTAGGTTCTATGCTCTTGTTGTTTTGAGTTCCTGTTTCCTGTCATGTTAATTTTGCTCACTTGCCCCATGTGATGATGCAAAAGTGGATAGTGTTATGTAATTATTGCTGGGGAGCATCTGACTAATGTATTTGTCTAGCAGCTTTCTCAGACTCTATTATTCAATGCAATTTCATGGCTGTGCAGTACGAGTTCAATTTACCAAAAAGAAGAGCTATATACTCACAAATCAGTTGGACTACTCTGTTCATGCTGTATGTGTTTGATTTACTGAAAAGAACCTACTCATTAGAGTAATTTGTTCAGGAATTGGTTGGATTACACTGGTCATGCTGATTCAATAAAAAGAGCCAGCTCATGAACATTGTATACTGTATGAGCTTGATTCACTAAAAAGAACTAGCTCATATCTGTAAAATGCAATAACACTGTTAGCACTAGATAACACCGTATACTGTGTATCTTAGACCTGACTAAAGCATACTTTGATACAAGTTTTGTTAAATTTAATTGCAGAAATCATTTGTTGGTCATCATTCCTCTGCAGATGCCACTTGGTTTGATATTTTGTTATCTAATGCAATATAACTCATACCTTTCAGTAGAGGTTTAGGTGTTTACTGTATATAATATTTGGGGCCATAGACCTGATGTTTTTCACTGTCGTTATACTGTACGTACATCTGTCTGCATTTGCCTGATATTAATGTCATGAATG